TATTAGATGCTATAAAATTAATGTTAGAAATTTATTTAGTATGGAAAACAAAAGCCTAGATTAAAGAATTTAATCATTGAACTTAAATATTATAAAACATTTAACTTGAACATAAAATCATAATCATCGTCTTGATACAGTTAATGGCAACCATTAATATCGAATTTTGTTTTTTTTAGAAAACGTTGACCTCACTTTATGATAACATTATCCTGTTTTGTACAAACATAAATTTCACGAGGTCAAGCACCCAGATGCTAAAGAACTGTTTGTGGGTCGCATAAATAGTTGTCCCGAATCGAACCCATGTCCCCCGCCGAAGGCAATACCTTGGCAACTGCGCCACGGAGTCATCAAAGAAATTCTAAAAATTCCAAAAGGAATATGCTATTTTAGCTTTTTATTGGTCCCACGGCTACACGAGAAAACTTTCGTGTAAAAGTTTCGACGTAAAATATAATAATTCGTGAAGGGGCCTCGTTGCGTTGCCAACTGGCAATGAGCGAGTTCAACACACCTCGATATCACCGAGTGAGTCATTAGTTACGTAAACAAAATTAGTTGGTGCAGTTTACGTATAAAATAAAAGAGCAAAAGAACATTTTACCGTCTTTTTTGCTTTTACAAATTAATGTAACTGAATAACTAGTGTTAATTGGTTATCGTGTAAGACATAGACCGTGAACAGCTATAGTACAATATACGTTCTTCATATTGTTCATGAAAATAATTGACATTATCTCTCAAGTCTTTTCTTAAAAAATCGAAAACGCCTTTAATCGTAAACTATAATTAAAAATAGCAGCATACATTTTCTGAAAATTTTATAATAATATAATACTTTTTTTGAATACTTTTCTTCTTCCCTTTTAAACTCTTATCGAAATATTTGTATATGAATAAACTTAATCAGCTGGCCACATCTCGCTTAGCCGATTTGTGTTATATGATATTATTTGTACAGTCATTTGAAGCATCTTGTGGTTTGCGGTCACCATTGTTTGTGCGTATACATTAATATAGCCGTTTCCATCAATATTTTTCTGTTTATAAAAGTATCAAACGATTTAACCATTCATCTTTTATTTACTTAATCCTATTATATTCGTTGTTTAAATATGGTATAAAAGGTCTCCGTACACTATATACGAATACTAGCTGCTGCCCACGACTACGTCTGCGTAGAACTGAAGGCGTATCATTCAGACAGAAAACCAGATATACATAAAAATAATTATGTATATCAATTATAGCCTATGTGTTATTCCGATGTATAAGCTATATTATTACAAAGTTTCATGAAAATCCATTCATTACTATTTGCGTGAAAGAGTAACAAACATCCATCCATACATACAAACTTTCGCCTTTATAATATTAGTAAGGATGAGGCAGTTATTTATGCTCATAAGAATCCCTCAATCGAAAAGCTGATTTATTTAAATAATAATGGAACGTCGAATTTGATCTTACATTGCCATCTGAAGTTCCGAACAGAATTAAAAATAAATCATAACGAGAAATACATATACGAGAAAGTCAATAAAAAGTGTATTAGCTACCCAACCAGTTTTCTTTTTAAACTATGTAAAAATCTCACAGTCTCATTTGAATTCGATAGATTGGAAAAGATCACAAATTTTGAAAATAATTAGAGTGAATGTGAAAATAATTGGGTACAATGGCTAGGATTTATAATATTTAGGTGAATACATATTATGTTGTCCTTTTATTGAGCAAAATCAAACGGATGTGCCATTGCAGATATCGAAAGTATCATTTTGCCAAACTTATTCAGAAAGTTCTTTATGTATATGTAATATGTAAATTCATCAGATGCAATAGGGTTTCTGCTCTTATCCTATACGGGTGGGATGGGCACAATATTTGAAATATGCTGTTACAAGTATTGCCCAGGTTTTTTCACGACCGTGATCCGTCTTTGGGAACAAACACTGTGGTAGGGTCACGCAACAGTCTTCGCTATTGCACGAATGGGTACCACGGCCTCACAGTAGACCGACGTGTGGAAGTGTTATACTACTGCGATTCGTCAGGTGAGTGAGGTAATCGGGGCACACTTTATTATAGGGTGGCAACGCATCTGCAGCCTGATAGGTGTTGCAAATGCAAGTAGACGGTGGTTATCTTAATATCATGTGAACCGCCATCTCGCTTGCCACATTTTCACATTAAAAAACCCAGATCAGGAAAAATTATCTGTGGCTCACACATACTTGTCCCGTGTGGGAATCGAACCAATGACCCCTGGTGCCAAAGCCAATATCGTAGGTATTGCGGGCCATCACCGGGTTACGTTTTTGTAATGTTTAAATAATAAACATTTCGGGACGTATTTTAACACATTATCTAGTTTCAACTAACCAAAGCTTGTACTATGGCTACTAGATAACTGATAAACATACTAAATATTTTTTTTTAAATAAATACATATTAAAGATAAATAAACTCTCAGACACCTAGACACGTTAATCACACAATATTTTTCCAGTAGTAGGGATCTAACCCACACACACACCTTGATAGCATAAGACACAGGGTCATTATCCATTACGCCAACTGGCTTGCTAATATGTGTACAACATAAACGTTTTAAGTCTGTGTTTGTAATGAATCAAGCATAATGAGCAATAATGCTTGTTTTTAAAAGCATTCAACATTTTCTTAATCACTATTTGAGACGCATGTGGGCTTGAAACAAATCAATGTCACGCTAATTGTGAAATTTACAAGAAACAGAATTACGTTTAAAATGGAAAAAGAAACATTATGGCTCATCAAATCATTTACAAGACAAACAAGGCTAAGCGATATTATTTAAAGATCGATGCACAAGTAAAGTGTAGCTGCCAGCTGCGTTGAAGTCATTCTTAAACAAAAACGTGAAATTTTTAGCCGACTTCAAAAAAGGAGGAGGGTCTCAGTTCGACTGTATTTCTTTTTCATGTTTGTTACCTCAGAACTTGCGACTATTTTGATGATTTATTTTTTTATTTGAAAGCTGGTGCTTCCCGTGTGGTCCCATTTCATTTGGTGCAATTCTGACAACGGTGTCCATTAGAAAACCATAGAAAACTTTTGCAAGAAGCATGTGCGTGACAAATGGACGTATAACTTTATATTACGTCAACTGATTTCGATGATTCTTTTTTTATTGGAAAGAATGTACTTTAAGGGTTCTACTTCAAAGCTAGATGAGACTTTGGTTAGTTTCTGATCATGAGATCCATGACAAAATAACGGAACACTTAACATTTATTTTACTTTTAGTTCATATGGAAATAGTTCTTTTTTGAAGTCGGTTTTCTTTAATTTCGTTTATTTTAATACTTTTTCTTTCACAAAATTACGAGTACCGTTCCGAAACACTGTCTCGAACAACTAGGCCAGTTTTACGGCTGGGATAGGTATCGACTCAATCGAACCTCTAGCGACCAGTGTCAATCAATGCAATAGGCGAAACAACCGCGAACCTTTTCGGGGATAGCCCTTCTCGAGCCTTGGGACCAGTTAAAATGATGTACACATGTTTTGAAACCGAGAGGTTTTCTGCGGCGGAATGAAATACGGAAACGATTCGTATTTCAACACTTTTTCAATACTTTCTGGCGTCGTATTATTACACGCCAGGGGTTGATCGTGGAATACATGACCCCATAAAAACTGAATGTTTTTTTATTGAAACATATAACTGGGATCTTTACTTAAAGCATACATTTTATAAACATGAACTGTGACTATATAGGTAAAATAATAGGGACGTTTAATGCTTAATTATCTTAAACCATTTTTATCTATTATTATACATCATAAAATGGTCTTTGAAAATGTTTCCGCAAACACACCTATTTACTTTAGGAACAAATTTCCCTCCAATTTTTTATTACTTTCTTGATCGAGATAAACCGCAACACACCTAGTCGCCGAAACAGGCAACCTATTTATTTCTGTGTTATATTACTTTCAAGAATTTGAACAAATTTATAGTTCTATGTACGACTATAACATCTGTTTTTTCTGGTTTCGCGCCCAGACTCAAGTGAGCTAAATGGTCGACTAAAAATAAAAAAAGACGTAAAAGTTTTTATCCGATATTGGCATAAAATAATTTGCTATCATTAATATGGATTAGAATATGATATTATGCTGTAAAAAAATTATCGGACTTGATTGAAATTATGAAAGGGCCAATCTCGAAAAATTTTGAAATAATTATAAAAGATATTTCGTAAACTTAACTTTCCTTTGATGTAAAAAGGTTTCAAAACAATATAGCAAACTTTAAGTATTGCCCGGGACGGTATTTTATTAAAAAAAATATCAAATAGCTCTGGGACTGTTACAGACATAAAATTTGAAGCTCGTAGATTAAAAAGTTTGCCTAAGGGGATCTCCGAGGGTAATAAATTCTAAAATATTTTTCAAGGCTTATGTTTACAAAGCAATTTGCTACCCTTTTCGCGCCTTTCGTAGTCCATCTGAGATTTAATATAACTTCATTAGTGAACACGAGTTGAGCTTAAATTTTCATCCTCGTAAATACCGCGCAACGCTCCGAACACGAGGCTTCCATCGGAATATTTTAACATTATAAATATTTCTGCCTCCAATTTCGATATCGTAAAGTAAAAGTATTTTTTTTATGCGAAAAGTTGTCAAACGAGCAGTCGGTTCACCTGAGGTTAAGTGAATACCGCCGCCCATGGACATCTGCCACACCTTACAGATGCGTTGACAACCTTTTGAAAATTGGGCTCCGGCCACCTCACTCACCAGACAAAACGCGAAAGTATTATACTTCCACTTTACGCTGGTCTTGAACGGGCCTGCCCATTCGTGCAACAGCCGAGACTGCTGCGTGGCCCTACCACCGTAAAAGTTTACAGAATGCTGTAAAAAATTAATACTGTTTAAAATAACTTTTTTTTTTTTTTTCATACAACATCGAATTTCCTAACGTGGTATTTTTTCATCAACAGGTGTATCACACAACAGGCAGTACGTCTTATTCAGATTAGGGCGTCGGGTCTCACCATCGGTTCGACAATTCGCCGAGTTGGGGCGATCGGATTCCCTCACCTCTGGCCCAGGGACCTTCGATGTGTTCGGCGCACCGGGCATAGCACAGGGCTCCGGTCGCACGGAGGCACAGTTCTTCGTCGATGGAAACCACTCGAGGGTAACTATCAGTCAACAGTCCTTTTTCGTGTGTTTTGTTATTGTGTGTGAAATGATCATTGTATATGCACAAATCTTAGTTTCTGACGTATACGATAAAGCATGTTATAATTTTAAATTCGTAATATGTGTATCGATTTTACGTGCTTGAAAAATGGTTTCACTAAATTATGTGCCTTATGATTATCCAGACTGAAAGTAGCTATTGCGTCACTACTAGCTAAACAATACGTACTTTCAGTTTAGATGAGATCTCTCGTATAATAGTGTTCATTTTTAAGTTCACACGTAATTTTGAAACAAAAATACTCATGTAGGGAGTGCAATGAGTAAACAAAAGCGAAACGATAAAAATAATTCCGCGAATTCGATTGCAACGAGCAGAATTAACAACAACAAAGCGCCGATAATTTCACAATTTAATTGCGCGGCAGCAATAAAACTAGCATAACACGGGCCCGTCGAAAATATCAGTATTTCGACACTAATTAATGCCCGAGAGAGCAAACAACAATTACCACTGTCGGGCTAGGAGCGTTTGGTTAAAAAAGCAACGGCGCCAATACAAATTGAGTTGTAATGGATGGGGGAAATTCATAATAGTTCTTTCATTGCCGTTTGGAATTGTTTACAATTTTGTTCAATTACGGGTTTCTTAACCCACGTATCGGTGTCGGCATTCTCGGTACATATCGATCACGAAACCATTTAGAATTGAACGCACGCTATCCTTGAAAGAGTAAGTAAATGTTGTAAGGCAGTAATAGTACAAGAGCTTAACTAGATAGTGATAAAAAAAATTATTAGGTTGCATATGAAATTGGCGTTTTGTACGGGGGGAATATAAAGTCAATTTTGTTTTTTTATAAATATAATTAATTAATCAAAGTATGCACCGTTGTTATCTGTGCACTTTTACATAGGTCATTCATTGATCCGAGAATCAATAAACTCTTTGAAGGCGGTTTGGACTGCCACAATGGAGTCGAATTTTTTCCTTGTAAGAAGTTGTATAAATTCCGGAAAAAATGGTAATCTGTTGGAGCTAGAGTCCGAGGAGTACGGTGGATGTCGCAGACATTCCAATTGTAGCTCATCTAACTTAGTGGTTGTTTGTTGTGCAGTGTGTGGTCTTGCGTAGTCGAGAACCTACGACGTTGCGTTGTCGACCTAATACAACTGATTAATATTGAAGAGAAGCGACGTTATGATTTTATAGGATAAATGTAACAGATGTTTTCTCTCAGACTCTTTGATTTTACGCGAATATTATACATATTAAAAGAAACCAGTTTATGGATTTTATCGCGTTTTTTATTTATTAATATATAAATATAAAACGCGATAAAATCAGTAAACTAGTTTCATTTAATAACTATTCAATTATATTAACTATGTAAGATTAAGATGAAAATTAAATAATTTGTTTTATTGATATAGTTCGTCAATTTCTTTGGTAGCCTTCAAGAAATTTCAAAATTAATATTATGAAGTATTTTGGGGATTATAATAAGTAATAATAATATAATAATTATAATAAAATATATATATTTTATATAACGTAATAGCTTTTGAAAAAATTAACTTTTATTGATTTTTTCTTTTTTATGCTTTTTACATTTCAACACTATAAAAATAATAATTTTGTACCATTTTGTTCTAGACATGCCATTCATTTCTTGAAAACATACCTCAACTTGCTGGGTAACGATCAAAAGCTGCGAAAAAAATACAATTTTAATGTAATGTAAAGATAACATTGCTTCTTAATTTTCTCTGAATACGTAGTAAAAATAGCACGCAGAATAATCATTATTCTTGTAGCAACTCTCCCGTAAAAGATATTTCAAGGTTCTATAAAAGGCTGAAAATTTCAAGTTAAAAGGATAAGCTTACATTTTATTAATTTCTTACAAGTACGTATACAATTGGCCAGTTGAACTATTATCTAATGTTTTGTGTCATCTCCGTGATTGTTATTAGTTAACACGATGTTGTCATCATCTTTACGTACACAATTATTAATTATTGTTTTATTAAAAACTGTCTATTGTTATCATTTTCCGTAAATTAAACCCTTGAAAAATTACTGACAAATGAAATCCAAATGCATAATCGTGGTTTATTAGAATGCTTATCGCGGTTTTTTGGTTCTATCTGTTCGAATATCGTTATAAAAATATGGAAGGCTTATTTAAAGAAAAAATACAAGAGATTCCATTAAGACGTGCTAGAAGTACCGATCAATTGCTGCCTCAAAATTCATACAATGTGCTGAATACATATAAGATCATAATTAAAATTTTTTTGGATAACCCACAAAAGAGAGGATTAAAGAGACCATTCGGTTAACTCTACCTGATAAGCTTTTCAGTATAAAATTGTTATTCAGATAAACGACGAAAGAGACTGAAGTACGAAATAGAGAGCACACTAGAAAGCCTTTGTTTCGAGACAAAGTTGTCTTAAGAGCGAGGGCTATAACTGCAAACGAAGATAAGCTCGCTGTTCTTCATTCTAGTCGGATATAACAATGTGTTTAAATCACAAAGGAAGCTTATACAGGCGAAACAATTCTCAGCGCTCTGTATTCGAGTGGCAAATACTATGTTATTAAATGAAACTACTTTACGGATTTTATCGCTCTCTGTGCTATTTTTATTTCGCTTTCGAACACTGCAGTATTCATGGTTTTGAGATAAATTGTCCGACCGATGATCAGATGTTTTTATTTGCCAAGGCATTCAAATACTCGTACAATATATTAAATGTGAATACGATTATTTTTATACGTTATGTATATAGTTTATAAATTGTAGTGATGGGTTATTGTTTAAATGATTATTTATATATCAACCATGAACGCACAACTTATAAGGCAGTGAAAATATAACTACATGGTTTTAATTATGGATAAAAAATAAAATCAAGTTTTGTCTATGATCAACACAGCAGATTTTCTGATATATGCACCTGTATTTTGAGTTTCAAAGTTCAGGTACAGCTACGAATGGATTGGAAGTCTGTGCAAACACATAATATCGAATATTACCCACCTTATGGTACGTTGTGCTAGAAGCTCTAAAAGAAGGTGTCGTTGTCGATATGATCTTGCTGAATTTTTCTCCACATTCCGTAGAGATATTATTATTAAGCTTTAATTCGTAGGTATCAGTAATGGCGAAAATGGTTCCCTCCCCGGACTGGTTCATCGGGGTGGACAGCTTCGACCTGTGCGTGGATGGCAACTGGCTTGACAGCATCACAATCGAAGTATGTATTTAACGCACTCTGTTGCAAATAGATCTTTGGAAACGTACTAATTTTACACCAGTTGGTTTTCAAACGTTTTTGTACTGTAATAAATAAAAAAGGAAAAGTAAAAAATATTTAAGTCATACAACAGACATGATTTTTTGCCGTTTTTATGGATAATGGTACGGAACCCTTCGTGCGTGAATCCGACTCACACTTGGCCGATTTTGGCAATTCATTGGCAATGCATCAGCAACCCATCCGGTGTTATCGATGCCATGGGCGGCGGTAATCTTAACATCAGATGAACCGCCCTCTCGTTTGCCATCTTTTAACACAGGAAAAGCACCCAATAGCGCCTTTATACACCTTGGCCTAGCCATTCGATAAATAACACTCGTCTCACACTCATCCATAAATCAGGTGGACCCACTGGACGCGGGGACAGACAACGGATTCACGTTCACCGCACCAAACTGGCCAACCGCGCCCCAAGGTGTAGCGTACCGTATAACGTCAAAGTACCCGTCCCACCCAGCCGGCTCGTTCTTCTACCCGCATTTAAGAAGACTGCCGCCTATAGCCACGTTCCAATTCATTAAAGTAAGTAACCGCAATTCCCTCGATGTCCAATGTGTGTTTGATAAAAAATTCCCTCTTAATTTTGTTCATTTATCACAACATTTGTCAGCCTTTAAATTCGGCACCATGTTTATTGTTCGTCAAATTTTTTAGATAACTGTCAGCGATGTCAATTTTCCGAATATTTTTTTAAAACTTTAAAATGTTTGGTATATAAAGATCTTAATTAAATTCTTTTGTAGATTTAAAAATCAAGTGCAAAATCTCTTTGTTGTTCCAAGATGTTATTTCTTAATCGGAAACACTTTTTATCAGTCTTATGCAGTTTTATTTTGTTGTTGTAAACTTCATAAGTTTTATAAAAATACCATCACCCCGATATTTTTTATTAACCCGTGCTTTACACGCAGCTTTTAAGTGTATACATACTCGTATACGAAACATAATTGTATGTACCCGTAAAGACAACTTTAATAGCATATTAAAATGCACATGGAGTTTAGAACTCATAAATTGTCAGTGCTTTCGAAAAATGCTCTCCGAAAAGAATCCATTTTGGACGCCTCACACAAAGCGAATTCCCCAACAGCTCCGAGAATACGAACTCTCCGAAGTGTTCCACCGGGAGAGTGACGACCGAAAATACGACGTTCTACAATTAGACAAGCTGAACCATAATAGCGTAGATGTGTTGGACGGCAATAGGGCGCTCTCTATCGCTGAGGAAGTAGAGCGAGCCGAGCAAGCGCCGCGGATCTACTCCGAGGGCTCTTTGACCACGCCGTATGGAGCTTACTCATACTATTCTCTGTAAGTTATTACTCATTAGTAGTGTTTACTCTCGATTTTGCCTGTGTTAGAAACACAGGCAAAATCGGGTTCCGTACCCAAGGGGTAAAACGACACCCTTTTGCTTCGACTCCGCTGTCCGTCACCAACCTGTATCTCATGAACTATGATAGCTAGAAAGTTGAAATTTTCACAGATGAGGTATTTTTGTTGTCGATATAACAACAAATACGAAAAAACAGAATAATAAATATTTAAGTGGAGCTCACATACATCAGACATGATTTCTTTGCCATTGCCATTTTGACAATGCTACAGAACCCTACGTGCCTGAGTCCGACTCGCACTTTGCCGGTTTATTTTTTTCTATATGAAGCCGCTACCTGTAGGAAGTCGATGGATGCAGTGTCAAACAGGCTGAAATGATGATGATGATGGCGGCGCGCAATCAATGTTTATTTAAAATTTCAATGCGACCCCTACAACCAATTCTTTGTAAAGAAATAACTAACAGAGATACGAGAAATTAACTAGAACAAGGGAACTGGAAAATATCAATTCTTAGAGAACAATAGTCGATACTTTCCAGTTCCCTCGTCATACCCAAAGATTATTAAATATTTTTATAACATAAAATCGTATCGTTTCTCCGGTTGTTATGTGGAATAAAGAATATCAGATATATAAACGCGCCTGTTTACTATATTGTGACCGTCTTCTTTTTTTCAATTTTGCCGGACGAAACATCGGTTTGAATTTTTAATAAAAAATTAACAATCACGTTTGAATTGTAATTTTACTGATAGTTCGGCTAAAGACTGTGTCACTGTGTCATTCTGTCTGCACTCAGAACAAATACGACAGTTAGCACCACGGAAGAGCCTCGTTCGGCCAACGAGTTGCCCACGGCTGGGCCCACTGCGAGTGAGAGGTCTGCGTTGAGGAGTCTCGCGCGCCGCTACAGAGCAAGAAGGCGACGCAAGCTCCGCGCTGAAAACACCGACCCGGCAGAGAGGAGAAAGCGGAAAAGAGCAAGTAAGAGAACAAATAATAACGTTTTTTTATTTAATTTTTTTTATGGAAAAAAGGGGCAAACGAGCAGGAGGCTCACCTGATGATTATTGATCAGTACCGCCCATAAACATCTGCAAAACTGGAGGGCTTTCAATTTCGTATACATGTGCAGTTTCCAGTCGATTAAAGCCTTTACATACTTAAAAATAAAATCAATATTGAAGAATCTACAATGAGCGAGTTAGATTTCTATATTGACAATGCATTTCCATAATAAGTCTGGTACTGTCTTATTAAACCCGATAAAAGTTACAATCAATTCTTTTAATCATTTTTAATAGAAACAATTGTATCAACTATTCCTTGATCAAAACTTACGAGATTTTCACTTTCCAAAGTCTCCCACGCACAATCATATTGTCAAATACAATGAACACACTGAGATTGTAAAGAAATCCATATCGAACGCCACACCCTCCAACAAATACCATGCACAGCGCACTGTCAAACACGTCACGAGTTTTCAACGAATGCCTCTATCGGCGACACTTCTCAGGGCTTCTGGACTGCCGCGTGTCGGACTGGGGCGAGTGGAGCGAGTGCCGCGGCGACGGCGGCTGCGTGGGTTCCGCGCTGAGGACCAGACGCGTCATCCGCAGACAGCGGCCGGGCGGCGCGCCCTGCCCGCCCACGGCCCAGTCGCGGTGGTGCGCGACCAACTGCAGCACGCAGCGGGAAGACTGGCACAACAACCTGACATAAGGAAACCACCACAACGGCCCCCGGACTTTTAATCCACTTGGCAAACGTTTTGTTTCAATTTCCTTTCCGGAATGCATTGCAGAAGTCTTACTGCTATCGCGCAGTGAATCGAATGAAGGACAAGAGTTTAAAGTTGCAGTGTTTCGTTGACGTGAATTGTCTGTTCTAGTTGCAGAATGTTCCGACATTACGACTCTTTGATGTTTTTTAAGACATCTGTTTTATTATTATACTTCCCATCACTAATGTACAATCACAATATCGCTAAGCAATGAAATCGCAAAAGCAGCGAAATGCTAAATTGCCAGCTGTTAACAAACGAGTTAAAGATGACCGTCAGAACTCGGGCTTAGAAATGATCGTAGTAAGATTTCTGCCGGACCCTCTGTTTTCTTAAAGTTATTTAGCGTCTGTCTGTCCGTCCAAATTATTTCCTTTGATTCCAGTCTTAATTTCTTCAACTGATTTCGATTATAAGATGACGTGTATAAATGAATTAATAAATTTGCTCTATGTAAAAAGAATGATAATTTAGTAAGAAATGACTGTCGATGTTCAGAATAATGATTCTAAAATAATTTGGGTTAATTGTGGCTGTACCTATACAAGCTTCGTTCAATTTCATTTCAACTGTATGAAGAAGTTTCTTAAGAACTTTTTGGTTAAAATTACGCGGATTAAGGTTGAACTCCCGTCTTAAAAAACGTCTCTCCCGTACTAGACAGAACGAAGAACAATAAAACTTCCAAAGTGTAACTGGTAACATATCATATATGTTACGTTTAAGTCCTTGCAATTAAAGGATGCACAAATCGAGAAAGTTTCTGAATGTTTTTTGTCATATAGACATCATATTTTTAAAATTCACGCCTTCAACATCACTTTACATTTACTACTCAACTTGGATTAAGAACATAGGTTAATTTAGACGCGTAAGATAGTTAGCAGCCGTACGAAAATTTATTTTTCCAAAGCTAGATGATTATTTATACATTTTTCTGCTCTAGTACAAAAATCGTCATGTCTTATGCTAAAGTTTTCTAATTCGAACATGTTCGTCGACTCTCACATAGTATATTGAAGCGGAAAGATTTTGTATAATGTAGGTTAAGAGAAGATATTCGCTAACCACGCGTGGATTTAAATAAATGAAAATAAAAACCGCATACAAGTAGAAACAAGTAACTTAAAATTTCGACTAACTCGTATATTTTAAGTCACAATCTTTCGATGGAACTGTAACGTAAAGGCTATATAGTTTGGTTAACAAGATCGAATTCTCCATCTTAGTACTTAACATTATGACAGACCTGTCATATTGGCCTGTACAAAAAAACTGAAAATGAATTAATGAGGTTATAAATTTGTATCGCACGCTTTCTTTTTTTGCATATGACAAGTCGATAAGCCGCGTGTGGTTGGTCAATTATTAGTGTAATATCTCAAATAGTGTCATACATATCGCTTACTTAAGTCGTTGACTTTGTGACGGTAACTCAATAAAGTAGCATTGTCTGTTTATATAAACGTCACGTGATCCCAAAGATGCAGCTTTTATTTTTATTACAGTTAAGTGTAAAGATAGGTTAGGTCAGTTCGTATTTAGCGTAAGATTTAACCAGTAATTGGAAATTATTAAAAGTGCTTTTATCTTAATGGATACCTCCATTTCGTAGTGATAAATATTAATTTCTCTACAATCGTGAGGACAGACTGTTTGTAGCCCTTTATATCTTTAATCCTGTAATTTGTTTCATCGAAAGTTGACGTGTCAAGTTAGTAAAAAAAAATCTTTAAACAAGCATTTATCTGGTAGTGCAGTTTGAACATAATATGATGAACAAACATAATTAATTCATAAACTTTTAATAGTCTGAATCATCTAATCTAGTGATTTAGATAATAAAAAATAAAAATATGTAATTTTATAGAAAATTAAATCAAAACACGTACTTTGCCTACGTGTTTATTATCAACAAGTTTCAGAAGATTACTGTAAATAGCAGGTGAAAACAATATAAAGTATTTATAATCATAATCAGCAAACAAACATCAACTCCTACAGTTATGCTTATTTGCAAATTGGATTAAAAAACACCAAATCTGTTATTAAGACCTTTACATTTGTATGTGATTTATTTAACATGATTTTGTAATAAATATTGATTGTATGGCTTTCCATAACTAGTACTCACATTATGTAGTAAGATTACATTTTTATTGGTAAGATGAACTTGATGAATCAATGTGTCAAATGATAACCAAAAAATAATTTGATTCCAAATTTGAAAATGAATGAAGCCAAAAATGGTACACCTTAGTATAACAACTATTAATTATGTGTATTTTTTACATTGTAAAATATTTTGATTTCGATAATAAAACAATTAAAATTAAACATTATATGTGTTTTATTCAGGAAATTGTGCGTACTATGTTTGTGAAATGTGTGCTTTATTTCAAGATTTTACTTTTAGTTTAACTTCTTAATTTAAATTTCATTTCATTCCTTATTATATTAAGAAAGAATAATTACGTTATAAATAAAAACAGACTAGTTTAACATAACGTTCTTATTGAGTTTTTAAACTCTGCACTTTTATAATAATACATACACTACACTACTTTCCCATAAGAGATGGCTTTCTTTATATGGTATTCTTTTAGACACCGTTTTTCTTAAAAATAACCATTGACAAATGTGTGCTCATAAAAAGATCGAAAAATCGAATCATCACTATTTTTACTATATTACATAAGTTTTATTAAACACATCATGTCAAATTATAGAAATTATTGGTTTCTAAAAAAAAATCTTGTATAGTTTAAACTTAACCATTAGTATGAGACTAACAACTAATATTATAATTAAAAAATAATTCTTTCATAGATTAATTAACAAATAATTTTAATTAACAAGAAATTAAATCGGAGTTAAGGCCAACACTTAAGGACAAACAACAGGTTAAGGCGGATATGAGTAACAAAACATCTTAGTTGTGTTTTAAAGGAATGCCAGCCAGAATCAATTCGAATGAGGCAGTTCAACTATTTAAAGTTGTATATTCTGTAATATTTGTCTAACCTATAAATATAACCTATAACCCGCCGCGTAATTCAAAATTTGGCCACCTCGCTAACTAGCAAAGAACTGAATAAAACACAGAAAATATGTTACAGATCCAAATAAATAACAAACTAAAAATTTCGGTCCTTAAATCCTGCAAAAGTCTCCAAACACAAACTGCGGTCCCTGACAACGGCATAAAAACTCTAATACTCTAAATATCCTCTTTAGGGAATAAAATTTTGCTTCAAATTTTTTTTGCATTCTCCACAGCAAAGGTGGTAACAATACAGGCGCACCCAACTTTCACAACTATTCTTTGCGAGCTAACGGCGAGATTCGCTCGCAATCTCCAAAGGTGACATTTAATACGAAAATTAGCTTGTCGTGTCGCGTCACGAACTGTTGACTCCTTTACGCGATATAAGAGTATACACACGACACATAATCTGGGCACAGTGCTACGCTGAATCTCTTTAACCTCGTTTTTTTCCCCATTTAAAACGTTCCTCTCGTGAAACTGAGGTTTGTTGGAACACGCTATCTCCCGGGGCCTACTTTTTTATTTAGCATCGTGACCCAGTACTTTTAAATTGGGTCGTTTAATGACGTTACCGGATGACGCGCGAGAACTTTTTCATGAGAAGGAAATTAGAGCGGCCGCGGATGGCAAGCGCACTGAAATGAATGTAAGAATAAAATGGATTCTTGACATGGCATTGAAGTAGAACTGAGCAACTGAACTTGAACAACAAGCACTATATTAAAACTTGTTATAATGTTGTATGCGTTACTTTTTTATAAAATAAACATGTCCAACAGGCAGATGGCTTATGTGATGTTCAGATAAGCCAGATTGGTTACCACCGCCATGTACAGTATAATGAACACTTCTTCTTAACACAATACTTCTACGAGACCGTGCTAAGTGCCCGTATGAACCATTTACATTCAAAAGAATTAAACAATTTGTCGGCGCCTATAATTATTTCCTTCCTAATATCGTGTGGGTGTTTTCAAGGCAAGAATGATTAGGTTTCAACCGACCTAGTGCGCTTAGCATCTACAGCATATTATGTACATCACATAGGTTTTGTAGACTTCCGAGTAAAACTGGCACTTTTATTAGACTTAAAAAAGAAGGAGCTTCTCAATTCTGCTGTATTTTTTATGTTTGTTACTTCAGAATTCCGTCAGTCTCAACTGTTATTATTATATTTGCCAATTAAATAGTAACGTGACGTATTTTAACATTATTATCATTGAACATAACAACAGTCAAAATTTTTTAGACAGCTAAATAAAGGTTATCAACCCATTCTGATGAAGAGGTTAGGTCATGATCGCTCCAATAGAGTTTCTTTTGAGAAAGAAGTGACATTGACGTTAAAGTAGGAAATTAAAGATTCTATCTACGTAACGAGCGCGTCTTGGCATGGAATTAAGCGGAGTGAGCGTCTTAAGCGAGTGAATAAGCTTGCCGCTGAACAACATTGGACCTTAATGGAACTAGTTAAGGTTTCAACTAGTACAGTTTTTCTTATTGCAGAAAACTTAAATATTTTTAACGAATCTAAAGGAGCAATGAACCTATTGAAAACCCCTTTATATCATGCACACAGTGTTCCGAAAATATAAAAAAAATTGTTAACTACTACAACTTAATATTCCAAATATTATGTTGTAGTAGTTCAACATAATATTTGGAATATTAAGTTGTAATTAACAATTTTTTGTTAAATGGAGGTTGCCTATCCCATAATACTATTTGTGCCATCAAAAAATAAGACCATTGCTTTAATCACAAAAACTAAACAAACACAAAAGAAACGTCTTTTAACTAGTACCCAGTGAAGAGACAACCGATTATATATTATTGTATATAATTTATACTATTACATATTATTACATACTATTATTACCTAGTATA